TCTGCTGCACACGAGCCGTTCGGCAGAACACGTTTGGCTCCAACCGCAGTCTTAAGCTAATCTGTGGAGTTGCACTGCCACCCAGTGGTCAGGCCCAGTCCTTGCACCGACTGCCATCCACTCGATTCTAAGGTTCACGAATCATGCATCTGGAAAAAGACACTTTCCAATATATTTATTAGTACTGTTTGAAATCATGATTTTACAATATTGGGTTTTATGTTATTTTCTACATCATTAACGTATTGATTCAGTGAAACACTTTTGCAAAATGAATGTCTAGTAATATCATTGTGTATTTAATTCTTAGACATGGATTTTCTTTCCAGTCTGCATTTCATAAATTAACAGAGTCAGTACTGGGTAATTACAGTTTAATATATTTAAATATTAATTGATTTGTCACTAATCTAAAGGGAAAATCAGCAGAAATCATACTTTACCTTGAAGAAAACAGCATTAAATCTCCCAGAATGAAGCTGGTCTTTCATTTACGTGCTGAAATCTAATTTCTGTTACATTCTGATCCATCACACCTACAGACAACTGCCTGGGCAAAATCATTTTTGGTTTAAGCTGCAGAAATTGACACAGTTTTTTATTAAATTATTGTTATGGACCATTCCAGAAATTCTAGAAGGGAAAGTGGATAAGCCCCTGACTGAAACAGTACACTCGTGTAATTTGCTTATATGTGTGCGATAAGTGACAATGCTGTTTGTTGAAATCTGAAACATCAATGCAGGGCAGCCTCCATTCTGTACCTAAACGTCCATAAACAGAAGAAACATCTACAGCCACTTTGCCTGGTAGGGTGCCTTGTCCCGGGCAGATCAGTTTCCCTTCACCAGATCCCTGAAGTACATTAATTACAAGCATGCAGCAATGGGCTTTATCATAAAATATATTAGACACTTGCTGTAGCAACAAGTTGACTGGCCAGACGGATTGCATATTATCTAAGGGCACATACTGATGCTGTACCGCATAGGAACCTAACTTAACGCGGGGCGGGGCAGAGCATGGACGGGATGCCAGTCAGGTACACTCGGATAGGACGTCCGCCCGCGTAATGAATCATAAGCGATTCAGACGTCAGTTACCCTAACCACCTGTCTTTGTACTACGACTTAACGTGAATATTGCTTTGGATGAAAGGGCCTGCTAAATAAATAAATGTAAGCCGGAGCACTCCGAGGAAATCCGCATGACACCGGGAGAACATACAAACCTATGTGTGTGGAGTTTGTAATTATATCTTTGTGGGGACTCTCCATTCATTCCTATGGGGAAAACTCTAATCCCAAAATGATGACCGTGACCCCTACCCAGTCTTAACCTTAACCACAAGTAATCAAACAAAACACCAGACTTTTCGCATTTTTAGTTTTTTGATTGCAGTCACAGATCTTTGTGGGGACCTGAAAAATGTCCCCCACAACGTCAAAAAAAAAACCCAGGTTATTACATTATGGCACATTTGGTTCCCACAATGTGATATAAACATAATCCACACACACACACACACACACACACACACAAAGGGGGTTATACTCAAACAGAAGAGGTGTGAACTATTATGCTGCCTACTAGATATAGATATACAAGCAAAGCAGTTATAAACTCATACGACTCTGAGTTTTGTCCTCATTTAACAGAGACTGCATATTCAGCCTTTAACACAGGTAGAATTACCCTGGCAGCAATCCACATCAGTCTTGGGTTCATACAAATGCTCACGTCCAAATATCAGGCATTAGAAGTTTTTAATCCATTAACATCTGAACTGACTGAAAAACTTAAATTATGACATGACACTGGCATGAAAATGCACACACTGCTGAGTAGCTAGTATCTTGTTCTATACCAGGTGATGCTATAAATGGTTATTAAGAACCTTAAAACCATCATTCCTAAGCTCAAAAAATGCTAATTTTCCCAGTGCCAGATGTGTGTATAGAACTTAGGTGGAGCTGATGGGGTTGCGGCAATGCCTGGCTTTTGCTCACATCTGCAACATGGTAAAAAACGTCGTCAAACTATAACATAAACAATTCGGAATCGTGATACTCCACCACTCCAAGCATGTTCCTCGGTGATTAAAAAGCTCCAGAGATGGTCTGAGGGTGCTGTTAACTATCCGTACACCTGGAACGGGCCGGGAGTGGAAGACAAGGCCACCAAAATGAGATGGAGAGAAACCGCGACTTGCACCAAACAGAAGTGCTGGGATTTCATTGTGGAACATTTTGTTTGTGTGAAACATCCTTCCACTGCCAAATAAAGAGCTTAAATCAAAGCTAAAAAATATCATCTTTAGAATTAGAAAGCTTAAAGGTCCATTAATAATGGATCCACTCTATGAAAACCACTTTCCCTAAGCCGGTGAAAAGCCTGTTCACTTGGCGCACAAGGATTTCATTTTTAATGAGGTAACGATAGCAGATTTACAGGTAACATCAGTTTATTCCTCTGTACAAAAAAGTGCCGGAAAGAGCCATCATCAAAACCTCACTTTCTTACACTTCAAGTTAAAGAATCAGTCCTTACTCTGCTTGAGAAAACTAGATTTTGTAGACAGACTGTACAACATATGAAATATAAAAATTCAGGAAATGTTTTAGTGCAGTACCATCAGGTGTGGTGGAAAAATGAAACGCTACACAACTGTGTCGCCGTCTATATACAACCTCCGTTATCCGGAGTCAGTTAAGTCCATGAAACCGGTTCAGTCAGTCTTATCAGGTTAGTTATTACTGCTGACGGACTCCTTAATGGCAATTGTCGGTGTTGGTCCAACGTGTGTCCAGATATATCCCTTCTCCGGGCGGATGGGTATAGTAGGAAACGGACAACTCCTCGATTTGAAATACTCTGAGGGGGCGTGGCAAACGAACTCTAGGTAATCCATTTTTCTTGGTAAATCTTCTTCAGGCCCTAAAACCGAAAACAAAAACACAATTCCATATTTATGAGAGATGAAACACACTTATGCAGAGCACATTTCAAAAATATCAGAGAAATTACACATCATACAAACTTCACTGCCTTCCCTGTAAACATCTGACAGGTGAACTTGTATTGTACTTATAAATGTAAGTAGGGCCCAAGCTGACACGCATAACAATGGTGACAGTGACCTACTTAGCTATTTTTCTTAATGTATGATCTTATTTACCTATTTATCTTGTCTATGTTATTTGTGAATGTAAGCACCAATACTCCCAAAACAAATTCCTAGTACATGCAGTTGTACCTCGCCAATAAAGGGAAGTATGACTCTCATTTAAAGGCTCCATGATAAATAAACTCCAAGTATGGAGCCCATCTGGGTCTGATGGAGGCAGAAAACTGTGCGCAACTGTTTAGATTTGGTTTTTCCTAGTAATATAATTGTCTTTACCCACCTACGATGTAAGTGCCCGGATCAAACTGGTCCTTGGGACTGGCCTGGGTCGGCAGGAGCCACGTCAGGGCTGCGCTTTTCTCGCAGTACTGGTCCTGAACGAAGCCCCGGATCTGGGCGTAGTACGACTTCCCGTCCTCCTCGTCTATCACTCTGATCACGTCTCCGATTTGGTAATACACACCCTGGGACGAGAGGAGCCACACCACAGATCGGTAGCAAAAACGCAGCCCCTGTAGTTATAACGCTTTACTATCACGTGTACTCGGAAAATAGTGATATTCTTGGACCACAATTGCGCGGGGTGGGTGCATGGGGGTATAACGAGGCAGCAGTGCAATACAAAGCAGTTAAATATAAGAATACAAAATGCATGGTAATAAATAACACACAACCAGTGCGATATGGGGATGAAATAACATTGCGGAATGTGCCAATTGACAATAACACAGTTTACTATAAAACGGGTTGGGTCTATTGGGTACCTTGTAAAACAGCGACTCGGAGGTGATGATGGTCGACACGGACTCTGGGGCTTTGATGGGCTGAAAGGCAGAGAGCAGCGCGTCCCTTAATAAGCAGAAACACCAACGGATCACCGGAGCACGGCGCTCCACTCACGTTTTTCAGCTTGAAGATGTGCCGCCGGCCCTTGCCCTTGGTGGACACCTTTTTCTCCGAGGCCGGAGCCTTGTACTTGGTGCTTCTCAGGCGCGCCGACCTCCGGTGGATCTCCTGCTTAGACTGGGGGAGAGTGGCACGTCTCTCACGCTGCCACAGCATCCAGACGCGGGAGACGAGATGCCCGTCGGCTTTTCTACCTGTTTTCCGCCGCCGTTGTTCTGCTGGGTGCTGGAGGCGGCCGAAGCCCCCGCGGCCCCCGTGCTGGCGCTCTTGCCGGTGCAGTTGTTGCACAGGATCTCTCCCTGATTTCCCTTCTTCCACATGGAGGATGAGTTGGTCTTGCAAACGGCGCAGCACGGCTTCAGACCCAGCGGCATGTTTCACGCTACGGAGACGGGCCAGTCGGTTGCTAACGAGCAACGTGCATGCGCCTGCTTTATTTAGACTTACCCCAGCTTACGATCCGAGCAAGTAAACCCGCCAGACAACATAAAGCGACAGTTTCCGTTTTCTACGGAGGTATTCGAATACTGTCACAAGCGGCACAAACTAACATGGCTGACGGCTCGTAAACAAACACAAAAGAGAAGGCGGAAGAACATGGCGCCCTCTGGTGGAGGGAAGACGCATGTTCACTAGTCTGTAATCTCCCAAACACGAAAACAAAACGGGAGTCAGGTGAGCATGACGGCCTCTGGTGGTGGGAGGACTAATGTCTACTGGTCCGTAAAAGCCCTATGACACCAGACAGGAGAGCGCCGTACAAGGCGCCCTCAAGTGGTGGTCTATGGTAGCAACCTAAAACTTCTCTGAAAAGCTGAGGCGAAGTGCTCGTGCCGGCAGATAAGGTTTTTAGAATGGATTCCTATAAGAAAAATATTATATAGTATCCCTTTGTCCATCTTTAATAGCGTATACCCAATGCAGCATCAATAATACATGTGCAATAAAAGAATGACATATTACAAAGTTAGATTTTTACACAGTTTTATTAAGTCAACCTTAACCGACACTTTCATGTTTTGGCCAGACATCAAACATTACTTACTTCCATATAAACTGGGAATGTATCAAGTATATCATTATGAAAGTGCAAATCGCATTTCAAGGTTACGTTGCTTTACAATATAAAATTTCAGTGGGTTATAAAATAGTTTTGCCAATTTAAAGTGATTTCTGTTGTCAGGTCAAATTCAGTACCAAGGAAAAAAAAACTGTATATAGTAGGACCCTTTTCATGCACAGCATACTGTTTCACAGAAGACGATGGTCAAACTCCACAACTTAAATAGGGACGTACAGAACAAAAAGTCCCACGAAAGTCACGGACTCCGGCACGTTACTCTCACAAACTGCTTCAATGCGACACACACGTTTCGCTGCTGTTCTAAGCATCAGATGACATGTATTTCAGCACAGTCACACCTATCTTGAGAAAAAGACCGTTTTTAGTGAAGCCTTAAGGAAAACCGTTTATCTCGAAGTTCAGTTTTGCCACAGAAAATGATCCAATCCAAATTTATACCTTGACACATCTAAAGTTAAGTTTCAAAGTTGCAAGGGGATTTCACTTTTTAATAAATACCTTAAAGTGTTACGTATAAATACCTGTGCCACCCGTGCTTCTTAGTGTCATTTCAGATCTCCGTAAAAAAGACCTGCACCGTTGTATTTAAGTTTACAGCGTTACGCTTCTCTGGCACTAAATTCCTGCATGCCCCAAATCAGAAACTAAGTCGAACAAATGGCAATTTTATACTTAAGAATAAAATGTAACAGAATCGAAGGTGATCAATAATCCGTTGGCTCACTATAATTACATTTAAATTTATATTCCATTTTTCAATGCTTTAAAAAAATGTAGAAATAATCTAACAAGCAAGAGAGGCTAAGAATGGATACAAATGTGTTTTTCTTAATGCTAAGGTTCGAAAACCTTTGTTAGTTTGTTAATGAATAGACTGTACCACAAAGGGAGCTGAGTGCTTGTAAGCCACACCGCTAAAGAGCTCATGAGACGCAGTAATTAATTTAAAATAATTAAAAAAAACTCTCACATAAAGGCACGGTAATGAATTTAGTAGATCCGCTTCAAGGTACAGCCCTTTCCTGCGCGGCAAGTTCATATTTTAAATGAATCCTACGTTTTCAAATACTCATAGGCGTGTTACAGTGCTTAGGTTATGGGAAGTAAATAGCTAACTGCATTTCTAATACACACCATGATTGTGTCCACTGCTACTCTGCATTATAACATTTCCAGCTTTGTTTTAATAATGATTTTAAAATAAAACCTGTCGTAGTAGCTCTGTCTTGTTCACATTCTCTATATCACAAGCAAATGTGCATTGACTAATGATGGGCAACTATGGGAAGGAAATAAACGTGATTGGATCTTAGCAACTTAGGCACAGTTCGCATGTTAACAACGTGGTACATATATACTCTAGTTACAGTTTGGCACCTTTTCATTTAAAGAGGAGGCGGATGAGAATTGACAGGAAGGGGTTTACCCGCCTGTTTACTATTCCGATACCACGGCAAGGTGCAACACTGCCCCCTAACGGTTGGGAGGGCTGAACTCTGTCCCCCCTCTCAGTAGTAGGTCTCATCCTGGTAAGAAAACCACAATGATTATTCCGGGGGGGGGGGTTATAGTTAGCTGAAAGAGGGGGAAATGCACTTTGATGAGGCTGATCTCATGGCCTAATCTTTCGCATATTTCTGAAAAGCAAAAAATTCAAAAAGCAAAAATTCAGATTCCCCCCTGCCTTTCCTGACTATTGTCCGTCATAGGACTTAACTAGTTACCATACCTAGTTCCACAGATAAGTACAATCTCTCAGTATTCAACTGCCCTCTAACCTTTCATATCTTTCATTAAAAATACCTATCATCACTCAGACTCCCCCATAACGAGACCTTTCTGTTGTGCTTCCATAAGAAACCTTCTTTTGACCTTCCAACTGCTGCTAGAGCTAATAATTTGCCTCTCAGACCGGTTAAGATTTTCTGGGTGGGCTAGCTATATTATTTCTCACACCAGGTGCACTTGCTCCTCCCAGTCTGGGGAGGCGCTGCTGCATTGTTGGTGCTCAGGGTCAGAGTCACATTGAGGGCCTTCAGCGCGGCTGAGATTGGCGCTACAGTAGTTCTCCTGCTCCACGGCTGGCACGGTTACAACATCCAGACGCTCCAGCTCCAGTTGGGTGGGCCTTGTCGTTTCAGTATCCTCTCCAGCCTGGCATGGTAGACATTGCCCCACCTTCCCCAGATGGCCCTCCTCCTCATCCACCTGCTCCTGTACCTCAATCCGAGGTTCCAGACCTTCCTTCAGGCTGCCGGACAGCTGCGTGTCCAGGCCAGGCTCAGAGGAGGCTGAGGGGATTAGGGCAATGCTTTGGGGATTCATGTCGTGGAACCAAGCCATGATGTTGCCCAGTAGATTGGCATTGGCAGCGGGGTCGTGACACTCCGAGTCGAGGTCGGCACCCTCAGACTGGGGGGGGCTGCTGCCCGTGGCATCGTCAAAGGCGTGCGAGCCACTGAAGTGCTCAGGCGCATACTGGCCAGCCACAGCGCCCAACCTCATCAGGCTATCGCCCAGCTCCAGCAGCTCGGAGCTGCTGAGGGCGGCACGGGGCACCTCCACGGCACGGGGCGCCGGGTCCAGCCGGGAGGGCAGGGAGGTGCCGATCGCCCCCAGCGACGCCTCGTTATTCAGGAACTCCTGGGTGTCGCCGCCCACATCTAAGCCAGACTCCTGCAGGGACAGCTGGATGGCCAGTAGAATGTTGGGGTCGTCGTCGTCAAGGGAACGGAGGGCCTTAGACAAAAATCAGCATATGTCACATGATGACACCGTGCACCAATCCGGGCCTTCAGACATCGCCCTGAATGACTAAGATCTGGAAGAATGCATTCACACCTGTTAATTAGTGGCAATTAAATATAAATATACTGTCCGGGAGTGAGTGTGTGCAGCCCTTTGTCAGTTTAATACCTCCCTCTGTCCATTAAATTCCACCATTTAGAACAGTGGCTCGCAACTGGTGTATTGCGACCCAAAAGGGGGTCATGTAACCATTTTCGTTGGGTCAGGGATTAAATTTATATTTTATATTATACACATACACACACACTATATTGCCAAAAGTATTGGGACACCCCACCAAATCCTTGAATTCAGGTATTCCAATCCCTTCCATAGCCACAGGTATATAAAATCAAGCACCTAGGCATGCAGACTGCTTCTACAAACATTTGCGAAAGAATGGGTCGCTCTCAGGAGCTCAGTGAATCCAAGTGTGGTACCGTGATAGTCCATTCGTGAAATTTCCTCGTTACCAAGTATTCCACAGTCAACCGTTAGTGGTATTATAATTGGGAACAACAGCAACTCAGCCAGGAAGTGGTAGGTCATGTAAAATCACAGAGCGGGGACAACGCATGCTGAGGCGCACAGTGTGTAGAAGTCGCCAACTGTCTGCAGAGTCAATAGCTACAGACCTCCAAACTTCGTGTGGCCTTCAGATTAGCTCAAGAACAGTGTGTAGAGAACTTCATGGAATGGGTTTCCATGGCCAAGCAGCTGCATCCAAGCCTTACATCACCAAGTGCAATGCAGTGTTAGATGCAGTGGTGTAAAGCACACCGCCACTGGACTCTAGAGCAGTGAAGATGTGTTCTCTGGAGTGACAAATCACGCTTCTCTGTCTGGCAATCTGATGGACGAGTCTGGGTTTGGCGGTTGCCAGGAGAACGGTACCTGCCTGACTGCATTGTGCCAAGTGTAAAGTTTGCTGGAGGGGGGATTATGGTGTGGGGTTGTTTTTCAGGGGTTGGGCTTGGCCCCTTAGTTCCAGTGAAAGGAACTCTTTATGCTGCAACATTCAAAGCCATTTTGGACAATTTCATGCTCTCAACTTTGTGGGAACAGTTTGGGGATGGCCCCTCACTGTTCCAACACTGCATACCAGTGCACAAAGCAAGGTCCATAAGGACATGGATGAGCGAGTCTGGTGTGGAGGAACTTGACTGGCCTGCACAGAGCCCTGACCTCAACCCAACAGAATACCTTTGGGATGAATTAGAGCGGAGACTGTGAGCCAGGCCTTCTCATCCAACATCAGCACCTGACCTCTCAAATGCTCTACTGGAAGAATGGTCAAAAATAAACACAGCCTTAAAGTTCATGTGTGCGTAAAGGCAGGTGTCCCAATACTTTTGGCAATATAGTGTATATATACACACACACACACAATATATGACAGACAGTCAGGACACAAATAAAAACTTAGGGTCGTGATTTAATGACTGAGGGACAATGTGGGTCCTGAGGCTAAACTGGTTGAGAACCACTGGCTTAGAACTGATGGGCAGCGCTTCTTAAGGTGGGTTCCTGGACAGTAGAGCATAGAGGAGCAAAAAAAAAACGCAAGAAGGTAGAGCAGCATGTAATGTGGCGGAATAGCAGGAGGGTCAGCTACTGAGCATCAGAGCAATGTGAGGTGGCGTGGGGGGGGGAGGGGGGGGCACAGCTGGACGCTCTGCACGGGAGCCTCACTCACCACATGCCTCCGACTGCTCCCCCCGTCCTGGGTGTCTGTGTGGAAACAGCACATGCTCAGGATAAAGCATAAAGCATAAAACACTCCCCAATACCAGGTAAGATAAAAGCTGCGGTCTCCGTCAGGGTGTATCAGTGTTTAACAGGAGGCCTGGGTGATAACCAAGAATTCCTTCTCTATCCTTTGACACGCATGATTTAGAATTCATACTCTTCTTCTACTAACAGTTCGTGATCTGTATTTAACCAATGCGGGAACAGGAAAGTAACACATTTTTCCTATTGCCCTATCAAGCTGGCTTTCCACTTCATCAGCCTGTCCATTTTTGGATGCCTTTTTTTTTTTTAGGCACTTCCTGGAACAGATGTATTAAAGGGAAGTGGGCGGCCATGACAGGACTGAATGGGGGGGGGGGGGAACGATACATGAAAGCAGCAGCTCCTCCCCTTTAATCATAGCATTTAAGCCAGAATACAATTAAACTCTGAACAGAGTAAATTCCAGCTGCCAGCCTTAATACTCCGACACCCAGTGATACTAACAGCAAGATCGTCACATACGATCGAAATGCACACAGATCGCTTGAAGACCGGCCCTGATTGGTGCTGCTCTCTGGCCAGTGCGGGGGCGAGCAGGTGGGGGCCGCGTACCTATGACGCCCTCGCCGGGGTCATCGGGGTCAGGGGTGCTGCTCCGCAGGCCGTGTGTGTCTCCGCGACGCCGCTGCCGGTGTCTCCGGCGGTACTGGAACTCTGCGTACTCCTGCAGGAAAGATGGAGCAGGGGCACAGCGGAGAGGGTCACTGGAGCTTCACTGTGGGCCACTGTACCGTCAGAGCAGCCGTGCAGTGCACAGGCTAGGGGTCCCCCCCCCCCCGTACCTGCCCTACATTTTTTTTTAGCAGGCAATTTTTTCCGAAGCGACGTACAACTGAAAAAGCAGCATCAGCCGGTCCGTGCAGCAATTTTGTCAACCCCGGGATTTGAACCAATGACCTTCCGATCACACAGGCAGCCTCCCAATCCGCTGAGCCACACACAAGATTCAATCGCTCCTACCTCTGATTTTAAGACTAAAACCACCATCTCAGTTCACTGAATGAGCTTTATTTGGTAATTAAGGGATGAGGTTAGAACACAAGCGTGCAAACATACGGCCGGTCGGCTGGCGAGCGGCCAAGGGAGACTGCTAGCGGAGGGCAGCGCCACCTGGTGTATGACGTGCTTCAGTGTCGCTTGCACACTCAGATTAAAAGGTTAAACGTCAACGCGACCTAAAGACATCTAGGTTCCCCATCGTTTTAATTTTTCCTTCTTTTTCTTTTCTTACCCCAGCTTTCCTGACAAAAGGCACTCAAGACACCCTGTGCTCTCCAGACACTCAGCAGCAAAGACGTATCACCGGCATTTCTGCGCAATACATTAGAACGTCAAGAAAGCAAAATTTGAGTGCAAGTAAATCTGTCCCAGAAACCGCTTCATATATTTACTAGAAACCTCCAAGGATGCTTTTAGTCAACTTGAAGACGGCTTTCAGTATAAACTGGACACCTTCATGGAACAGAAAGAACCCCCCCCCACTCACCCGAGAGCCACGTTTCATCATTCCTCTGTACACCCTGCTGACACATGCACTCGTGTCCAGCCATGTGGACGTACATTGCATAAAGATTTCACATAAACTAGGTTCTATTCTGTTTCTTTTGTTGCGTTCAGCTCTCGCTGCAGGCTTACAGCTGCACAAACTGCAGAAGAGTACGACTCAGAAAAGGCAAACGTGCAAAACTGCTGTAGATAACTCAGAGAAACTGGTTATTTACAGAACCGCCATGTGAGCTTGTGTTTTGGAACGTCTCCACCCCCCCCCCCCGATGGTGTTCCACTCGGTCTGGTCGTGTCCAATCGGAATGTCAGAAAAGCAGGCATTTTTTCCCCCCCACCACACTAACGATCATCAAAGGCGTCAACTCTCAGAACGAAGGTTCAGGCCAATTATACAGAAAGATGCTGTATCACAGGATCTAAGATGGTTCTGTGAAGAGTCAAGCCGCCTGTTTGCTGGAGATCCTTCGGCGTCCGTTTCCCATAAAAACCTACAATAAATACCACAACGGAAGTAGCAACTTGTTTGGTTCTTCTGAGCTGAACATATTTAAAAAGAAAAAGAAAACTGAAATGCTGCTGAAAGAAAACAAAAAAAAAAAAATGTCTTCCTCAGGACAAGGTCACTCAGAATGAACAGTGCAGACAAAAAGCAAAGCAGCCATTTGTATTGCAGTTAAATCAATGCAGCCAGAGTGGAAGATGGTGCGTCTACCTTGGGCTATTAAATCATAATAAAATAAACAGGAGGGAAAGAAAGAAGAGAGGCAGCCAGACTATTCCAGATTCCCTTGCTCAGTTTTAGATTTGCACTATTTAGTGACACACCACTGGTTTTCAGGGACACTGCTCACTTGTCCTTTTCAGAACCCCCCCCCCCTCTTCTGGGGGTAGCAGGACACTTGTCCCTTTACTTCCCCTCAGTGAGGAATATACCGAACAGCAGACAGGGAAACGGCCGTTTTCACCCATTCCCCATTTCCACTGCTGTTCACGCACGATGACACTGTACAAATTATGTACAACAATGGCAAAATATTGTGTCAGCAGTCTGTATCCTTATGCGCCTTATTTGAATACAATTAGAATAGGTCACCATTATTTTTAATCTAAACAGCCTTTTAAATAGCCTTCCTGATCATTCATTTCCTGTCCAGTGGCAGTTCAGGGTCCAACTACTGTAGACATTATATGTGTGACTTAATTACTAATCAGGGTACAGTCTATCTTTACTAATGATAAGATAAGAACTGCAGGCTTTTACAGCTGTTATGTATAATACGCCTAAATATATTACAAAAATTATATCAGTAATAACCAAAACAATAACAAATCTTCTACATCATTTTATACACTGCTCTTATAAGACTTGTGCTGTATAACAGTAGATCATAAAAGGTATACTATTTAAGAACAATTAGGTACAAGACCTAAGGTACAGGCATTTGGGTAACCCTAAAGTAGAGGATGACGCTCACGTGTGACTTACTATTAATTCTTAAAGGTCTTACAGCCAAACGCGGGTGACAATGATTCTTCTAACTAGAGTTTCCGTTCAATGGGTCACTTTTCATAAATTAGCACAAGGAGAGCAATCTTCAAAGAGAAACACATTATTAAATACATAAATATGGGGTTAAAACATCTGGAGAAGTTCACTAAAGACCTCCTAAGCACAGCATCGTGGTCCAGAGCGTGGGAACAGCTGGGTTTAGGGTGATGGGTACTGAGAAAAAAGATGTAACAAATACCAAAGAATTCGTGTGTGATGAAGTGCGTTAATCGGGATGAGCACACTCACACATATACACACAGTCAATTTTAACCAGACAACAGTGTGGAAGAATTTCTGAAGGGTTCTCTTCCTATGAACACTTCGAAATAAATAAATATGGAAATCCCAGACAACTGGTGACAGGATAGGAGGTAAAGATGCCGCTACAGTAGAGAAATTATGGGCTGAGTGCTCGAGACCATGCCTGTCAAGCCCAGATGGTCTCAGCCTGCCATCTTGCTGTTCACGCCCCCTAGTGGCACAGCCTGTGCTTACATTATATCTCAAAAAGTAAGCACAGCTGGTCAGAGGCCTACAGTAGGGATCCTACAGTGGAAATGGGGTATGGCACTCAGGAAGAGACAGCCTGAGCTGTTATGGGGGAACTTCTGACATTTTTCCTGGCCTCGGTGAGAAAATACTGGGAAAATTAATTTAAAAAAAAAAAAAAAAGAAAAAAAAACGGGGGAGGAAAGAAAAATAAATCAATCATGCTTATATATGATTCAGCAAAAAGATGACTGCAAGAACAGCGGCCATTGGCCATGAGAATACCTGCTGCTGTGCTCCTGAACTCTGATAGTTCTCTCTCTGATCATTTCCTCCCAGTACCGACTGATTGGCCAGGATCTTCAGATTAAAACAGAACAAGACTAAGAGACCTTCGGCCTGCAACAGGGTTAGGCTTTCGGGAACATGCACTTACGCGCTTGCGCCAATGCATCTCACGCTGTGCAAGGATAAAACATGCACGCACACACACGCACGCACGCACACACACATACAGGGCCGGGGAGAGAGAGCCCCCGCAGTCAGAAGCGGAGATGCTGGCTTTCACTCACCTCTGGGGAAGCAAATCCTAAGTACTCCCAGTCCCAAGTTCCGCCTGCGAAACTGCAAAGGACAGACAGGCGGGGTCAGGAGCGGCATGCGTCCGCAGGAAAGAGCGGCACCTTTCATCTCTTACGGCGTTTAACCCCGCTAAACGCTACTGGCAGACTGCTCTGCTGCGAGGCCGCCTGTCGACACAGAGCCACTGCTCTGATCCCTGCGACAGCAGCTACTGCATCAAGCCCGGAACAGTAAACAATCGTCTCACGCCTCACTATCAGGAGCTGTGTCGAGCAAACTGTATATCTTCAGCTAGATAAGCTAGTTAGGCTCTATGGGCTGCTCTAAGTGGGCAGGTGTGGTGGATACTGCAGAGACACAGGCGGCCACCAGGGGCACAAGTGGTGACGCCTGCCTAGGGCCCTACAAGGGCTTTGACCAGGACTGCAGCAAGTAACTCACAAACATGTCTGTAATAAACACTGCTAACAGTAACAGGGGTATTCTCTATAAAGTCTACACAAATAGGCACAGAACGCCATCCCATTAACACAGACACACAGGCACAGAGACAGAGACAGACACAGACGCACATACAGAGACAGACACAAACATACAGAGACAGACACAGACGCACACACAGAGACAGACACAAACATACAGAGACACACACAGACGCACATACAGAGAGACACAGACATACAGAGACACACACAGACGCACATACAGAGANACATACAGAGACACACACAGACGCACATACAGAGAGACACAGACATACAGAGACACACACAGATGCACATACAGAGAGACACAGACATACAGACACACACAGATGCACATACAGAGACAGACACAAACATACACACACATATACTCAGACGCAGACAGACAGAGATACACACACAGACACAGAGACACAGACAGGCACAAAGAAACACAGACAAACACAGACAGAGAGCTGGAGAAGCACAGAGACCTTAAATATACAGATGTATCTAATGTCAGCCACACAAAGTATGGTATGATAGCATACTGTAGCTGCCAGACTCGCTTAGAACAGCCAAAGAACTAGGTAGGTCATGCTTCAATACAAGCGGGTAGTGAGAAACTAAAACTGTGTGTATGCATATAAAAACATTAAGTCTGCACTGTTACAAATAAGTATTTTGCCCTGTGCTAATCTGCCCTTCCCAGGAACAGCAGTCTGTTCTGAAGGACAGACATTACTAGTGCTGCTTCAGTCTAATGACTCCGGGAGTCCAGTGCCTTTTGTTGTCCCGAAAAGTAATTCAGGCCTCATGTTTTATGTCCCCGATGCTGCCTAACTGAGACCATTCTGGGGG